GATCTAATGATTGAGATAAGATGAGATTGAAATCTGAGATGTAATCTTAATGATTCGCGGAGCTAAACTTAAATATGTTAAAAGATTTGTGAAGACGATATTTTAAGTGATTTCAGCTTTTATTAGATGGATTTGGTTTCTTTTAACTTCAAAATTTTAACGGTAATCCAGATAATAAAATGTTCACCTTATATAGTTAAATATTATAGTTTAGGCAGGAGAGCGGTCGAAAGTTAGGGCACATTAATGATAATTTTATTTTCGAGTATAACATCTTATCTCTGGAAGTGTTCATGATACTCAAATGGTTTTTATTACTTTTATTTTGATGAGCAAAATTTTAACAAAGGTCCCAGTAGTTAAGCAGGAGAACGATCGAGATTTTGGGAACCTTAATGTTAATTTTACTTTCGTGTATATTATAATATTGCTGAAATTGCTTATGAAAATCAAATAATTTATGAATACATTGTTTTATTATTTATTTATTAATATTTTGATGTGCAAAACTTTACCAGCAATCAGGAAAACAAGGTTGCAATAGTTTGGGCTGGAGAGCGGACGAAAGTTTATTCGATGCCAATTTTATTTTCGCGTATATTATTCATAAAACTGAAACTCTTTACGATAATAAAATTATTCTGCCTCACAAATATAAAACTCATTTATTCGAATGTAATTCGTTATAAAGATAAATTTGTTTAATTATTTATTATTATTTAGTTCAAAAATTGTGAAAAATTTTTTCGAATTATACAGCATTCAAAATTTTACATTATTTTAAACTATGTAATTTTAAGTGACGATGTTCAAAATTTTTTATACGATATTGGTCAAATGGTTCTTGAGAAAAGAAAATGTAAGAAATTCGTCTTTTTCGATACATTTCAACGAAAAAAAAGTTAAAGAAATATTAAGAGGTTTGGGACAAAATTAGGAAATTTTGCAATTGGAGTGAAACCAGTCGCAAAATTTTAGGCAATTGCCTGTTTTTAATATATAGCGCCTTTTCTTTAAAAAAAAAAAAATTAAAATTTCAAGACATTACACAAATTCATTTCTAACGAATGAATGATGATTTAACGAATTTCACAGATTCATATGATTTAACGAAATTCACAGAATATAATAAAATATTCGTAATAATTCCATATTTATTTTTAAAAAATGATCGCCGAAAAATTAGCATAGCGACTTAAAAACAGTTATTTAATCTCCATTTATTATATTTAATCGCCCTGTGCTGGTGACCGTTTATTTTCCCCTATATTAAGGTTGTTTTTCGAAGGCTGCGTCGTGATATGAAATGATTTTTTTAACGAATAATATGCTATTTTCATGACTTCTGTGAGTCTGCAAAAATTACTCATGACTGTTACGATAAGTTTAACCTATCTAAAGCTATTGCTTGTCCTGAAAATGGCGCAAAACGTAACTATGGAGAAAAGCCACAGTTTAGCGGAAATTAAAAGCATTTGCGGTCTAATTTTTTAATATTTAAAAACTTACTTCAATGCTACGTTAATTCTCATAAAATATGCAAAAACTAAGAATGAGGCAGTAATTTTCATAATATTCTTCTATGTGGAAAAATGTCACCAAATTGGTGATTTTTGCAAAGGCTTAATAACTTTTAAAATATTTAAGTTATTTGTCCGCCCTAAAACCCAGATAATTCTTCACAACAAGATGATATGTATAGTTTAAAATCATCGTTTTGCTTCAAGTATAAGGCACTTAAACTAAGTGCTTTTTTATTTTTCTTAATGATGGAGCTTCTTAAACCCATGTTAAGAGTTCCCAACTTACAACCACTCCCGTGCTCTAAATATAAGGACCGCATTTCCCAATTTGCGGCTACACATCACCCATTATATTTTGAGGGTCTAGAATCCAAAACCACCGAAATAAAGCCATACTTATTCAAAGAAAATGCCTATTTCTGTCTGATTTCGTTACTTAAATTAGCGTTTTTAAGGTAAGTTCCACGAATCATTAAAATTGAATCCTAGTAAGTGAAAATCCAATCATTAGATCAAAAGTTATAAAGGTAATAATTTTTTTTTTATTTCACGCATTATACTACTTGCATTAATCCAATGAGTCCATGTCCTTTTTGTTAAGTTTAACACAATTTGAAAAGTCAGTCAAAGAAAAACAGACGGTACATAGAAATGCCCGATTTTCACCGATCTGCTTTGGAAACCAGACTATTTCTTCCTGCCAAGTCTTAAGATTAGTTACAAAGTTCGTTAATAGAGGGTACTATTAACTGTAAAAATGTGAAACACTGTTTACTATTGACCTGTCGGTAAATTTTGTTGTCAAACTACTGCAGGTTATTGCTGCAAATGGTGGCTATTTCGAAAACATTGTTTTATATTTTTCTCGCTTAACAAGGTTATCTATTGTACTAGCTTTGAAACTTGGTTAGAATATATAACCTGTTTTTAAACAAGCCGAAGCCAACAGAACATTTCAAAATTCCCTAGTTCTTCGATTGATTTGTTAAGTCTGTTGTCATTTTTAGGACAGCCAGTATATTAATATTAAATTATGTGATATTAACAGCAAAACTATTTTAAAGAATTTCTGCTAAAACATTTTTCGTTTTTTTTCGTTGAAAAAATTTCAAAGAACTTGCAAAACTCAAGAACGTAATTCAAAATGTCAAAAAATATATCAAATTCAAAATTAAGTGAAACTTTAAGAGAAAAGTATTCTTATTGTAATCATTTAACCATTTGCTGAATACAAATGAATAATAATTAATAAATGTAGAAATTTAGCAGTATTTTTCTGGACATTACAAAAAAAAACTACTTTTGAGTCGGCTAGATGATTAATAGAAATCTCGAAACGATATCTGCTTATCGATAAAAATGTAAAGAAAAGGATACTTTAAAATAATTTATTTCAGAATTTTGTAGAAAAATTATACCACTGTTCTTTGATGCACTTCAAAAAATGTTCACAAAAAAGCGGGTGAATTAAAATTTTATTTCTTTCTTCATTTAAACCATGTTTGCTAATTTGATTCAATTATTAAAGCTTTCTGTTTGTTCCACAATACTGAAATATATTCGACAAACACAATTCTACCATAGATTCACTGGAAAAAATGAAGCCTTAAAGGTTTTGAAAACCTTAACGGTAACTAGGAATAAAGTTTAGGAAATAAAAAATTAAGTATTATACTGAAAGATGTCTAATTTGGGGTCAATAACGGATTAATATTTATTAAAAATAGTTTAATATATTGAGGTTATGATTCTTACGACATAATAATTAATGAATGTTAAATTTTCACATTGAAAACCACAAATTCATCATAAATCGACTGTTAAACGCCGGTAATAAAATAAAATGGTTGACTACACCGATATAATGGCTTAGTCAAGATGGCTCACTCACTTCTCAATGAGGTGATCCAGGTTCGAATCCCGACGTTGACATAGTTTATTTGTAAATTGTTTACGAATCGTGTCAACCACAATGCTGACGTAAAATTCCCTTGCCGTCGGGCTTATTGTTGGAAGGTTTCGAGGTTTCTTCTCCACGTAACGAAAAGATTGATTAGATCCCCTTAAATAGTCACTTGCAAACGATAGTTAGTCGTAATGCGTGATCCAAAAGTTCTTTTGAATTCTACTATACGTTCAATTATAAGATACAAAATTGAATATTGATAGCTGTAAATCGGCAGTAGAACACCGTTTATAAGTTAAAATAAACGACTTGCTTTGCCTTTTTAACTATATAGCAGATAAGGTAAAACCAGAAAATCATAATCAGTTCCATAAGACACAGATTCTTTTTCTTGTTATTGTAAACAAGTATCACTATTATACCATGCAATTGAAAAAGCATAGTACTTTTTTTTTAATTGCATGGCAGTATTCTAATTACTATAAACATGTTTCATCATTAGTACTAGGATACAGAATCTGGGATACTGATAATGACTCTTATTTATAGAACCAAAACAGCTGTCATTTTTTTAATCGTCTCTATTTGTGCGCTTTACGTTGATTCTCCAGCAAGCAATTTAATAATCCAAACAATTTCAACACAGATATTTCCCTTAAATATTTTGCACAATTTGAAATTATTTATTCTTGCACACATTTTTTGATGTTATTAATAAGCTATAAGCAATTATTATTTTTGTAGAGAAAAATTATTATTATTTATTTTATGAATTATGAATTATTATATTTTTATATTATTAGTTTGATTAGTATGCGGGAGAAAAAGTTTTGTAATTGTATGAACTTATTTATTTTACTAAAATCACTGTTTTAATGAATAAAATTTATTTTCTGTTTGATTCTACCCTATTTTTACATAAACAGTTAATTAAATTCTAATGTGAATTAAGATTGCTGTTTTTCAATGTTTAAATCATTTGCATTAAATCCGATGTGACTTAAATTTAGATTAAAATTTTCCATTTAATTTAAAGTTATTTTAAGAATTTCCCTTTTATTCAATTTCACATTCAGAGAATTTATTGTTTTAGGAAAGGATTACATTCAAATTCATGAAATGTCACTTCAAAATTAAAAATAATAATAATAATGCAGTAAATTAGTGTAAAAATAACTAAATATCTTAATCGTTTTCTGGGTCTATTAAACTTTCTTCTGTTTAAACAATAAGTTGCACCTAGAATTGTTGGGTAATAGTAATTAAGTTGTTAGTAAATAGTTTGTAAACTCAGCAATCGTAATTGATGCGTAATTTTAACTTTAAACTTTACGTATTTCTGTTATAAAATACGAATTTAGAATCATATTTTCTTACGTTTTAATTAATTTAACGAGGGTAGAAATTTTCTTTTAACTTTTGACCATCATTTCACCATTACATGAACATCATTTAAAAATAATTGTGAAAAAAAGTGTCTCAGCAAACGCGATACCGAAACTATGCGGAACTGTCATATTGGCGCGCTCTTTGGCGAGCACTATTTGCATCGCTATTCCAGCAACCCTTTTCTCAGTTGACTCTCTGACGGGTGAGCGAACAATTCACAACTGTATATACTCCGTGTGTTGTGAGGGTGATCGAGATCGGTGCTCATCCTTCCCGATCCCTGAGGAGGGCCCCCATGTTATCTGAACAAAACAGACACGTGATTCCACCACGTGTGTAAACTTCACCAGAGAAATCAAATATCATTGATTATGTGTCATTATGCCGGCAATACGGAAAAACACGTTTTTGTGATTAATCTCAATTGTTGTATTTACTCCGAGCGATGCTTATCCTCTGATGTGGTTCAAGAGCAGTAGATGAAAATATTTTTTTTCACTGCTCCCTCCTTTTCAACTATAATCGATCCTGTGTGTTCCTTGACATTTAAATAGCTGCGTAAATATCTTATTTTGGAATTTCTCTTGTTTAAATTCATAGATAAAAGATATCGTCTGCTGTTTCAAACAGAATATATTTATAAACAAAGATATCGTTTGTCGTTCCAAATTTGAATATTTTTATTTATTCAGAATCGTTTTCAATCTCGACGTTTGAAGTGGAAAATATCGATAAATTTTTTTTTCTGTTGCTTTTATTTACAATTAACTAACTCAGTAATATAAATAAATTTGTGTGATAATTTTGGTTCATTCTTATTGCTTATCAATGGAAGAAATAGAAGATATGGTTTTTGTGGAGCAGTTGAATTCATTTGTGCATCAGTGGATCGAACTTGGCAATATTTTAGATAACATTCCAGACATTCCAAATCTACGTTTGATTCATATTTTGCCTCCTGCTTGCATAGCTATTGCTCTTACACGATCTCTAGAAAGTGCATTCACGAAGCACTTCTTGAAATATTGATGAAAGCATAACTTATTATTAGCTATTTCTTTTTATAATCTTTTTCATATTTTATCACATAATTGAAGGAGCTACAAAGGTGCTACCCTGGGATTTTTACCTTCATACTGCAAGTTGTGCACAACATTTACGGATGAAACGTGATTTAGTTCATTGCAGAAGTATTAGTTTTTCAGGTGCTACCTACTTACTCTGAAACGCAACTAAATACGAAATTCATCAAGTGCAATTTATGTAAGTTTATCATCTTGCCAACAATTAACTCACTTTGGATTAACTGCAAACGCATTGTTACTGCAAAAATGCCTCCCGTGGCTTCTAGTTTGACTATTACTGGCGTGATCTGGGCATGCTTGTCCATGATTTCTGCCATCCTGTGTGCTGCTGGATTTTACATGCCTTTCTGGATCAAAGGCAATCTTGTGGATGGCACGGACGTTACATTTGGATCATTTCGGAGGTGTAATTACCCAAGATTGACTGCCGAGGGTAAACTTGAGATGGTGCATGAATGTGGAAGATATACATCTTTTCCGGATATACCTAGCCTTTCTTGGCAAGTGACCACTATTACTGTTGGATTAGGTGCTGCAGTATCCCTGCTTGTGGCATTTACTGCATTGTCTGCCTGTTGTTTGGCAGATGTAATCACAAAGACTACGGCCAGGATACTTGGATTGGTGCAGTTAATAGCAGGTGAGTTAGACAGTTTATTTTATAATTGAAAAACTTGAATGTTAGATCGTGTGTGAGTAACATTTTCGTGATTTTGAGCATAATTTGGTACAGAATATATAGTAATGTTAAAAAGTTTTTAACACAAAACTTTTATTTTCCTAAAAAAAAAATCGCCTGACAATAAATTTTTGTTAATAGAAATGAGACTTATAGACTATCACTAAACTCTTCCAATATTTTATGAAAATTAGAATTGGGATTGCAGGTTTGGTTTAAAAAAATAAATATCGAGTTTGCGTGGATAAATTAGTTGATTTAATCAAAGTCCAGAGCAAGTTAAATTTTCACCTAATTCTTATATATATATAAATATGTGTGAGTGTGTTTTGGGTTATTACATTAAAAAATAATAGATTAAAAAAATATGCCCAAAGACTGTAATTGTTCATCTGGCTAGAATTTCAGTCTCATGAAAACATAGTTATAATCTGAAAATTGATTAAAAAAACGTTATAAAATTTTGTGTTAGTAGAATATATTGTTATCATTGTATGCTTTAAAACTATCTATTTGCCCTTGAAAATTTTATTCAACAATTCTCTTGTGTACTGAATAATAAAATCGTTGAATAATTAAATTATTATACATAAGGATCCTGAGGATATTGTCGAAGAAAATGCAGAATTTAAAATCTTAACTTGTAGTATGTTTTAACAGTGAAGAGTGTTGAAAAATGTTTAAATAAAGCGATTTCTATCTCAGATGTTTGAAAATTAAAGCATCACATTAGTTCTCTGAATAACGCAAAGGAAAATCTTCACGATTTTCTTCAAAATGCATTTAAAATTTTAGTTTAATACATTAAAGTTTTATTTTCAACCTGTGTATCTCTTTCGTAATTATTTGTTTAAATGTTTTCGATTTATTATTATTTTTTTTTTTTGTTGTCTTGGGTAGCAATTTTGCATTCATTGCTATGTATGCAAATTAAAATGATGAAAAGATATGCAAATTCACGCTTATTTGCTTAAAATCAGATTAGTGAAATATTAATAGGATGATTTCTGTAAACTAAGAAATGTAAATAATAAATCTATTCCATCTTCTACCTCCTTTTTTTTTTTTAGCTACTAAGTCTGATGTTTTTTTTCCTTGACTTCAATATTTAATCAATCCAATAATTTGCATGTTAAATTCTTTACATATTTTTTTTAAATTTTATTTAATTTTCTAAAAATGTTTCTTAAGATTTTCAATTATTAAAAATCTGATGCCATAACCGAAACCGTCTGTTGATTTTTTAGTTTTTAATCGATTTGTACGACTTTCACCGCCTTTTGCTTACTCAGCTGACTTATCTTTTAGATTCATGGGTGTGATAGTGGAGTCATGTTTCATCGGTTGTCACATGAAATCCCTTTTTATCTCTCTTGAACATCTCTAAAGAGCAACCTGAATAGTTGATTTATCGTTCTTTTTGGTCTGGTGTTAGCAAACGCGGCACTCGCATCGAAAGTTACGTACGCATTCTCAAATTCTTGTGCGAAATTGTTAGCACACACTACTTTCTGATGTCTTTAAGGTATCTCAAACAATTTCGATTCACTGTCTTTCGAAAATATTTTGCCAACATCCCCCGCAGCAACTGCCGATTCTGGGCAACGAGAGCATTCAGCATTAACATTTTTTGTGCGACCACATTTAAATTCCGAAAACCAGAGCCAACAATTGGCAATTTTTCTGATGTATAATCTCCATAATTTTTATCAGGCCACTTTTTGGCTTTAATAATTTGTTCCATTTGTATCCATCGTTTTGAAAAGCAAAAGAAACAACGCACCACATTTTCCTAAAATCATTTTATTACTTTTATCACACTTATTTTTGTCATATTTACAATTTAATTGTAATTGTATATTATGGGCGCAGTGCTGATCACATTGCCAAAATCACTTCGTTGGTCAAGAAATTGTGGAGCCTTAACCTCCATGACCCATTGGCCCACAACGGGATGTTGCGGAAATGCTTTACTTTAATTATATATTATATAATTATAATTATAGGGGGGGGACACACAAACACAGGTTTGCGGTAAACTGATCACGGGTTAGAATCCTTTTAACGTCCGACTAACCAGGAGAGATTTTCGTGGTTTTTCTCTCTACGTTAAGCAAATATTCCATCAAAAAGTCATCCACGAAGGCTNTAATTATATGGGGGGGGGGACTCACAAACACAGGTTTGAATCCTCGCGTTGCCTCGTCGATATGAATTCTGCGCTTTACTCACACCAATCACAGTGCAGACATAAAACTATTTACGGTAAACTGATCACGGGTTAGAATCCTTTTGACTTTCGACTAACCAGGAGAGATTTTCGTGGTTTTTCTCTCTACGTTAAGCAAATATTCCATCAAAAAGTCATCCACGAAGGCTGGTTTACCCCGATGCTTGATCAAGGAATTCCCTTGTCTTCTGCATTGGGTTCAAAATTACAAGGCTTATTGACACTAATGATGTTTAATTAAATTTGATAATAGGACTAACCTGGTATTATGGTAATTGGTGCAGTTTCAGTGTTTTATATTCGTATATTAGGTACCTATTAAAACTGCATCAATTTTGTACAGTTTTATAATAAATACTGTGGGAAGAGATTTTTTACGGCACTTATACCGGAGAAATTTACTTGTTTGCGGTAAACTTAAACTATTAAAATTTTACCTTGAGCAAAAGCATCATGCTAAATGATACTGAATACAGCAGGGCTGATTGTGCTCCGGAAAAAATCCGGATTTTTCGCTAACAGTGATCCGGAGGTTTCCGGAGATTGAAGGTCCAGACGTTTAAAAAAATCATTGATCACAGAAGTTTCCGGAAATCAAATTTTCAAAGGTGGAACTTAAAAACACAGTTTATTTTATTTGTTTGTAAGGGAGAGCCAGAGAGATACTTTATAAGCTTATAATCATGATTAATATTATTTTTTTATCAGTTGTCTACATTACACATTTGTCTACCAGTTGTCTACATTACAGACACATTATGCCATTTTTTCTTGAGTTGTTATAATCATAAACTCAAGAAAAAAAGACATTTGTAAATTTTAATTACTTCTCCAGGTCATCATAGGTATGTGTAAATGGTATAGGTATGTGTAAAATTGTAAATATATTTTAAGTAAACTAAGAAATATTGAGAAAAAGGAAAAATAAACTTGTAACTATAAACTTGTAAAAATAAACAAGAAATTTTCCGGAATTTTGACTTGGACTCACAATCACCCCTGATACAGTTAATCCATATTTTGATAGGATGGACTACTAAATTCGTGCTTTGCTCAGTCTAGTCGCGTAAAGCTTAGGAAAAGGGCAACCGATAATAAATAAATAAAATTGGAACTATTTAGCTTTATTTGCTGTGATGCTTCACATCAATGTTATTTAGTACTGATTTATTGATTATTTCAATATAAATAAAAGCGGAAACTATTCCAGTGGTTACCAATTTTTTTACGGCAGTTAAACCCTAAATAAACGACCTTTTTTCTCAGCGGAACCCTATGGCTTAATGAATAAATTTCATTAGCTATTGTCATTATATTTCTTAACGAAATACTATTAATTGAAAAGATTTAGTGAATGAAGGAAAAAGGAAAATTTTATCATATCGTTTTAATAATATTCGTCTGAAAATTGCATTTTATGTCAGACGTTTGAATTTATCAGTCTGGAAAGGCGTCTTGTTTTAAATTGATCTTATTCTATGTCTAAACTGAAAATGAGTGGGCTGAAATATGTTGAAATAAAAATGGAAAAGGACGAAAATAAACGTTGAGAAAGGTTAACAGAAAAACATACTTCTTCATTGTTGAATTGGATTATTTTCATTCGGTGAGACTCACTAACGCACTTTGTTTATAAAAGCATATCGTTTTCATAATTCATTCATTATATTGTTAACAGAAAAAAAACATTATTTTGAATTCAATAATTTCATAAAAATGACATACAAAAATCATAACTAATAAAAAAAGAATTCCTAACTCTCGGAGCCCTAAGTTTCTGCGGAAAGTCATTTGAAACCGTTGCTCCATTCAATGATTCAACTAAACAAAGTAATAAAATGGCGGATATGTCTATTATCTTATCGTTAAAATTTTTTCTTTATCATAATATCTGACTAAATAAATAGAAGAAATAAAAAATTCTTGTACAATGACTGCTGATAAGTAGTTCTAAAATCAGACTAACGTTTTGACATTTGAGAAAGTGACTTTAGGTTCATTCTATTTAAGTATCTTTTTAAATTCTAGGTTGCTTTTAAAAGCTGCTGATTTTATACTTTTGGTGCCTAAAATGATTCATTTGACAAAAAGTGCTTTTTATTTATTCTTTTTAAAAAAAATAGCCATATTCTATTTTTCCTATCCTTTAATATCAATTATTCAATTATATCTTTCATTAACTTTTACCTTGGAAGAATATTGATTGTGTCTAAGCATTTCAAATGCTATTTTGAATTGCTTTTGTACTTAAATTATTTTGAGCTAAAATTCGTTTTATCGCGAGTTTGGTTCAGTTTAGTTTTTCAGTTCAGTTTAGCATCTAAGAGAAGAATTTAATATAAAATTTGGTTTTTATTTTTGTGTTTTATTTCTATTTAAACATGTCTTGTATTTAAGTAAAACAAAAGAGCTTTCAATTTGTTATGTATTTACACTACTAATATAGAATTGATATATAACTTAGAATTTTGTTAAGAAATGATTAAAACAGTATTTTTTTTTAAAACTTATTTTATACGTTTATTAAATGCAAATTGTTTTCGATTTTGTAGTGAAAGAAATTAACAAGCCTCTCCAAGCTTAAAAAAATGATTTAACTATAGTTATTGTAAAAAATACCTAACTGGTTTGTTGAAGAAGAAAAGGATTTTAAAGTGCATGTCTGAGTAAATAATATGGTGAAAAAGGAATTTAAATATTCAATCGAGCAAAATAAATTTTTACAATGAAT